AGCAAATATCCCTTTTTAAACTCCGATTTATAGTTTACTTTCTCCCTGTCTCACTCTCAGTGAAGGTCATGATGTTTCCTGATGATTTAGTAACATTAAAATACAAAAAAGAGAAAAGAAATCACACACTTCATTTGTGAGTGCTTTAGATTTCCCATCAGTTTTAACCGGCCCCCAGAGAATCATTCATGCCTGTAAGTACAGTATGTGCGTGGGTGTGATCATACATTTACATTTCAGCCATTTAGTTGGCACTTCAATCTGAATCAGAGTGCGGGAGGAGCGGTCGTACTAAAGAACACTGATGGAAGCAAACGATAAAGAATGCCTTTCAGCCTCGGTCTGGTTAGTTTTAGGAAGAAAGCTACTCAGTTTGGTTTAGGAGAAAGTTGTTTTGGGGACAAAAACATTTTTAACACCCCCTTAAAAGACTTGTCTAACATAAGATTTTAAAGGAAATATTATCTCATGTTTTCAAGGTTCAGGTTAATCAGTTAGAAAGACTTTCAGTGATTTTTCTTACTTTTCTTTGATTTCTTCATCGTTCAAACTCAAAATACAAAACAATACAAAACACTGTAATTATTTTCTTGCTGAGAGTTAGACAACTAGTTTGAGAGACAGGTGACAGGTAGCACTGTCATGATAATATATGAAGCTGGATCCAACAGTTTTGTAGCACAGCACACCCTCAGGGGGAAACTGTTATTCTGACTCTGTCCAAAGGTTATACAACCTGTGAGAACATCTAAAGTTTGGTAATCCCTTCCTGTGCCTGACTTCTTCCCAAACTAAAGACTTCTGCAGTGGCCCTCCAACACCTAAAATCACACTCTGATCATTATCAAAATCTAACACGATCTTATGATTTGTTTCACAAAGCTGATAACCACTTACAGCTTTACCGCAGCTGTACTATAGGCACTATAGTCCTTTCCTGCTATTGACAAGATATAAAACAAGCTCGAGATTATAAATCGGCCAGGAAAGCAGGAATAACTTGTGATATATAGAGAGCCATGACAAAGAACGTTTTTGCAGATCTCTCTGCAGTCATGTGGAAAACTAATTACACCCCGTGATTCAGTAGTTTGTAAACCACTTTTATCAGCAATAACTCAAAGTAATTGTTTTTCTGCATGACTTTATCATTCTCTCACATCATTGTGAAAGACCTTTGGCCCAGTCTTCTTTACAGCATTGTTTCAGTTCATTGAGATTTGCAGGCTTTCATTTATGCACAGCTTTCTCGCGGTCCTGCCAAAGCATTTCAGTCAGGTTGAGGTCTGGACTTTGACTGGTCCACTGCAGTACCTTGATGTTTCCTTTTTAATCATTCTGTTGTAGATGTGTTGCTGTATTTGGAATCGTTGTCTTGTTTCATGACCCAGATTAAGCCAAGCTTTAGCTGTCTGACAGATGTTCTCACATTTGACTCTAGAATACAGAGGAGTTCATGGTGGACTCAATGATTGTAAGGTGCTAATGTGGCTGCAAAAAAAGCCCAAATCATGACCCCTCCACCACCGTGCTGACAGCTGGTATGAGGTGTTTGTGCTAATATGTTGTGTTTGGTTTTGTGCATTATGACCAAACATCTGCATTAACCCTTTCACGCATAGTGGTCATAACAGTGGACAGCTATTCTGTTATAGACAGTGTTGATGTTAATGTATGTTTGGGGGTGTTGCACCCCGGAACCTTCAGAGGTTTTTCAGGGTTTTCTCTGTCGGAATGTTATGTGAGAAACAGTTTCCTGTTTGTGTTGCGACTAGCTGTGGTTGTTTCTAAAAGTGGTCAGTAAACATCCTAAAAGTGGCACCTGAGTTTCCGAGCATTTTTATCCTGAAGTTATAACATATTCAAAGGCTTTTTTCTTGTATTCGTGCCAGTGTTGATGGTATACTTGCACATAAACTACTACATTGGACACTAATGTGTCACTCCATACCCTGCCACCCACTGGTCAGCCAGTGGACTGACTAAGTGAACATGTAAAAAACTATTTGAAAAGTACATGTTTAAAAAAATGAAGTTCAAAAATCTTTTTTCATGCCTAAAGATGAATAAAAATGCAAGAAAAAAATCCTGATTTAGGTTGTCATAATTCATGCATGACAGGGTTAAGTTTTGATGGGCTTTCACACACCAGAGTGAAACGAGGTTAAACAGATGAATGTTTGTTTCTGTTGACATCAAAAACTTGTCTCAGTTGAAAACAAAATAGTTTCATCTTTCAACATCCATGAAGGGACTGGTGTTGGACATTAGTTTTGGTTATATATAGACACAGCCTGTGCAGCTGTCAGCGTGTTTCTATGGTTGTCCTTTACAAATTATCCATCCATGTCATTTTAAACATATTTTTTTAAACATAGACATTTTAAAATATCCAGTTACCCCCCAGTTAGCATATGGCCTCTTTAAAATGAAGGGACTGCAAATAATTGCTAGAATTTCTATGAAAGATGAAATATGGGCTGGAATAGATCCATGGACCTCTCAAATCTGTTGTTTGATCCACTGGAGCAAGTCCTGGCACTCAGGTGTGGAACCGATCAAACAGCAACGAATACTTTTGTACTTTTGGCAGAGTACATTAAATTATTATCATAATAATGCTATTTTACAGTTAAATACAGTTTCACTTATAATTCTGCAAATGCACAGCTTGTGTTCTAGGTCATAAGCCATTTTTAAATTGCATTTCTTTATGAATAAATGGGAGAACGGTCTTTATGAAAGGCCAGGGGGCTGGAGTACATTATTCATATGAGTGAATCCATCTTTAATGGATAGATTTTCCTGACAGAGATAAAGACTTGAAAGCTTTTAGAACACTTCGCAGATGCAGAGATATTAAAATTTGACTTTAAACTTTTGGCTCAGTTTTACTATGGGAAAGATTTTAAATCGAAAATCAGCATCAGCCTTCACTAATACCCCTGTAAGTAATTGGAAGCAAATGACAAAACATCTGGTGCAGCTGGATGTCTCTACACGGAAAAGGCTCAACATTATGACAGGTGAAGTGAAAAACAGTTGACTTGTTAGAAGCAGGGAAATGGACAAGTGTAAGAATCTAAGCGAAGTTGAGGGTGACTTAGATGAGTGAGTCAAAACATCTCCAAAACTGTAGCTCTTGTGGGGTGTTCCTGGTCTGCAGTGGTCAGTATGTATCACAAGCGATCCAAGGGAGGAACAGCGGTGAACCACCGACAGAGTCATGGGAGGCCAAAGCTCACTGATGCTTGTGGAGAACAAAGGCTGGCCCGAGTGGTCCAATCCAACAGACGAGCCACTGTAGCTTAAACTGCTGAAAACATTACTGCTGGTTCTGACAGAATACACAGAGCATCACAGTTTGTTGTGTAGCTGCAGATCACTCTGGATGCCCATGCAGACCCTTGCACAGTGTCAAAAGCACCAACAGTGGGCATGTGAGCATCAGACTAGACTACAGAGGAAGGTGGTCTGTGATGAATCACATTTTCTTTTACATCATGTGGATTGCCAGGTGCATGTGAGTCATTTACCTGGGGAACACCTGATACCAGGATGCACTATGCACTAGGGCAGGGCAATATGGCCAGAAATATTTATCACGATATATATCTGAAAATTTGCAATAACGATACAACTGACGATATAATTGACGTGAGACAAAATACTTTACAACTCCACAACTTTATTAGTGCAAAAAAACCCCATCAATGTATTTTCACTTAAACAAGCAGCTGTTTTTTATGTGCATTAAAGCTATATAAAAATTTAACAGTGCAAATGCAAATTACTTGCTAAAAGGCATTTCCAGTGGAAATTGGCCGACATATCCTGAGCATAACCATGTATAATATCCACAAAACATAAAAAGAGGTTATACACACACAATACCATAATATTATGTTGAAACACAGTATGTATTACTCCGCGAGGCTCCCGACTACGGTAGCTGTAATGCTCCGACAATCCATCAGGCGTAACAGAGAGTTCAGACTGTAGCTTAGCAAAGTCGTACTAAAACATTTTTTGACAGATTTTTGAGCGCTGTGTACCACATAAAATTGGTTTGGTAATAACAGTAATAACGACGGCCCGCTTGCATGCTCTACCAAAAAATGTGCTTTGGTGTGTATCTGACGGACAGAAACCAAACCAGTTCCACACCACTGGAGCTGCGCCGTTTGTACAAACCAATTCTGGTTCATCTGTTTCATTCAACGATCCGCTTTCGGCCTTCTCATTCTCCGTCTCCACCGTGCTTTCTCCGCCATGTGTGTATGAAAACAAAGGCACTGCGCGTTTTACCCATATTCTATCGCGATATTTCATTTTCTTATAACATTATACTGGTATTACCGTGAACGGTATGATATGGCCCAGCCCTACTATGCACTCCACTCAAGCATCTGTGGGATGTGGTGGACACACAAGTCTGGCCCCTGAAGGGCTCACTTCACATTTTACAGGACTTACAGGATCTATTGCTAATATCTTGGTACCAGATAGCACAGCACACCTTCAGGGGTCTAGAGGAGTCCATGCCTCGATGAGTCAGGTGGACAAATGCAATTTTAGGCAGGTGGTAATAATGTTATAACTGATTGATATATATTGCATGGACCAAAGGTTTAGGTCCTCCTTGCTTCGATTAAGGCTCTTGATCATTCTCCTTCCACTTGTTCTGTTTATCCTGATCAAATAATGGCATAAATAAATACTTAAAAAAGGGGCCCATAGTTTATAAATGAATTGCAAGTAATGTTGGTGTGCCCACATATTTGTGATCATCTCAGTTTAAATGCTCTGCAGACTGCATGTGTTACCTGGCCTTCACTGACAGTCGCTAACAAACTATATAAATGTGTGTGTGTGTGTGTGTGTGTGTGTGTGTGTGTGTG